TAGTAGTAGTAGTAGTAGTAGTAGTAGTAGTAGTAGTAGTAGTAGTAGTAGTAGTAGTAGTAGTAGTAGTAGTAGTAGTAGTAGTAGTAGTAGTAGTAGTAGTAGTAGTAGTAGTAGTAGTAGTAGTAGTAGTAGTAGTAGTAGTAGTAGTAAAGACGGGCGGATGTTACGGCGTCATTGTCATTGCCAGACACTCGTAAGCGTCGTAACCGTTCTCAGTTATGAACGCAGTTGTTGCTCTGAAATAACTTGGGGCCTAAAACTCATGAAGAGATAGGCCCAGTCATTAGCAAAGTCGGTAGCTTCATTTGCGTCCTTGGGACTCGAAACAGTACTGATAGGAGATCTCCTGAGGACTACCGCATAAAACTTGCTACAAACTCTGGGATTTTAACATGGAGGAGACAGAGATGCACTCGAGTGGGTAGGCTTTGTTGCAGCGAAGAGGATGCCGGTTATGTTTGCCGCCTCGGTGCGGTCAGCCTCCTGACAGTGTGCCCGTTTAGCTACGATGTCTACCTTGTCGCATCACAGTGCGACTTGAGGAGCGCAATGCTTATCTACGAGAATTGACGCAAGTCCGCCCTCTTGCTGACAGACGAAGCAGAGATGGCATGTACGACAAGATGGCGAGTTACGCTTCGTTTTGGCAGGAATGTCCTACCTGTCGGGGTCTGCTACTCTGGATCTGCCGGCTGTGTGCACTCTCCGGTCTCATGCAGACTACTGACTTCCGGCGGTTTCCCGAAAACTCGTATGCTAACAGGTGGACCATAACTATTGTGGCGTCTGCTTGCTCCTTCTGGTCTCAAATCCACCGCCGCTTGAGCGGAACTTTTAAGTGTCCAGTACAGGCCTTTTTCTGGTGGCTGTCTGTATTCGCACCCCCTGGCCTTCCGAGCCACGACTCCTCGTACGTGGCCATAGGTTCAAGCTTGTCAGACTGCACTGACTTGCCGTGGCGACTGATTCTCTGGTGTCGGCCTCTCTCTTAACTGTGCACCAGTCAACTGTCCGAGCCTATGGAAGAACTGGTGAGGGCGTTGGGCACGGTTTCTGACGTACCGTGAGGTCGTCGTCTATCGTGTTTCACGCGTTGACTGCGTGAGTGGTGGGCGCCCCCTCTACCATTGTATGTTCCAGATCGTAACCCACAGGACAGCGGGCCCGTGGCTTGGTGGTGAGAGGCATTGGACTGCTAGCCAACAGGTGGCGGGATCGAGCCCTAGGTGTTTCACACCTCGGGGTTGGGTATGACTGCCTGACGACGGCTAATAAGGCGGAAATGGCCATTCCAGTCTTCCATGTCTTTGTCAGTAATATTACTCTGGTGTGTAGTGTGTTGTTAATAATTGTCCTGTGTACCAGTGTAATCGACTAGCCCCAATGCGTAACGCAAGTGCGCTTACGTGTGCGGATGAATTGGGCTTTATGGGTGGGCCTTGAACGTGTTCTTTTACTAAGAGTTCTCGTTTATGCGCATATGACCGACTTTCGTTTTTTGAGATGCCGCGTAAATTAAAATTCTGGAAGGCAGAATTATCAATACCATCTTTACTCTGGTCGGGAGAGTACAAGCAGTTCAGGCGGCAGCGGCACCAATTGTTTGACCGAGCAGTGGTGCGTTTGCCATAGCCAGGTGCGAGCGTATGCCTGGGCCGTGTCTGACCGCTGTCAATCCTTGATGACCACTGTATCAATCAGCGCCACTGGGCCGGGAAGCCGAGGGCCGGGTCGTACCCAGCGCAAGCATTACACTTCTAGGGGGGAAGGGGGGGTTGATGGCTGCTGTCACGCCGAGCAGAGCGACACAGT